GTTCCCTAGGACTTGTAAAGTCGGTAATACACACAGTTTTATTTGCTCGTCTCTATACGCAACTTTGCCAATTTTTACCATGTCAAGTACACCTGTTCAAAGGCTAGTATGCTATAGCTTTTGGAGAAGTGCGCGCGTGTCATAGAAAAAATTGGCAAAGTTGCATATAGACATAGATATCTTATATACACTAGATAGTGCATCTAATTATTCTGCAATTCAAAAATTTAAGCCGTGATTGCAGTCTCAGGTCGTTCCCATGAAATGAGAGAAGATTCGTATATTTCCTATTTCTTAAACAGGGGACTTGAATATTAAGTTAACTGACCCTATTCCAAATACATTTTTAAAGTATTCAAATGATGAAAGTTATTGTTGTTTTTAAGTGTTTATTAGCGAATGGGAACGACCAACATGGCCGCCATCTATTCAAATGGGGGTAACCGCTGGAATATTCTTGGCTTCAATTTTACTAAAAGAGATGCGCTATCTAGTGTATATAAGATATCTATGCATATAGAGCGTTTGCACATGACGTCACAGCCGCCATGTTGGTGTTCCAATTCAAAAGAATTTTAATTCGACTCTTTTGTCTGGAACACCAACATGGCCGCCATGGCTTTTGTTGAGTTGGTCCCTGGGGAATGAGTGCAAAGGCTCCATACTAAAATTGCAATCACGCGTTTGATTTCAAACCAAATTGCACTCCACTCAGTCACCATTCAGTTCAATTACCATTATATACGACACCTCTTGTAAATAGATATGAGCGAAACCAATAAATAAGACTATACTGAGCATTGATATACATTGAGCATATAGACTATACTGAGCATTGATACACCAGGCGGAAATCTTAGTTTAAAGATAAAGAGCAGAGCCCAGCAAATAACTTTAAATCCAAACAAAAATAAAAGTAAAAAATTTATTAGCTAACGTTTCGTTGTTTACAATACAACATCTAGATTAATTGCTCTGAAGATGTTGTATTGTAAACAACGAAACGTTAGCTAATATTTTTTTTTACCTTTATTATGTTTGGATTTAAAGTTATTTGCTGGGCTCTGCTCTTTATCTTTATACTGAGCATATTTAAAAAAGAGTTAACTATTGAGATAACTATTGGCAAAAAATTGACGCCAATAATTTCATTTCCGACAGCATTATCGGCAGATGAATTACGAGTAGTGCAATATATTCCAAGAAACATTCTGATGACTGGATCGTGACTAGATGGCACAGTACTGAATTACTAAATATATACCCTTTGTTGATATTTGGGAGTTTAAGCTTGACTACGAAAAAATAATCTGCAGATATCCGCACTTTCAAATTTTTACATGACAAATTATATTTATGGATCAGGAAAAGATATTGAAATCGATGTATTTCGTGACTGTCGTATGTAAAAAATATCGCATCCGGTATGTAAAAAACACCAGGACACGTCAACGCCGTGTTTCGATATATAAAATAATACAGCATCGGACTTTCACAATGCACGAAACGTCTGTACTGTTTATTGGTGTCGAAACAAATGAACGTGTTAAAAATTCCCAAATCGTTATGGATTTTCACCTGAGACCACTTTTGTAAAGCGGGCATCAGGTATGTATACATTGGATTAAAAATCCACTGATATAATTTTAAAAATCACGACTACATCGATCTTCAAAGTCAAAGAACCGTGGTGGAAAACAATTCGTCGACAGTTTCAGTCATTTCTGTTTTTAAACTTATTTAAAAAGTCCATACAGATTCGCGGTGTTCTGTAATTCTTTCTCGTTCGAAGACAGACCGTCAATTCCACAACAACAGAATACACTACGTAAATTTAGAAGTTGAAAACAGTCTTGAATTAATAGATGTAGTATATATTTTGCTGGAAACATATTTACAGCTTATATCTTTCGCTCAAAAACACCAAAAAATGCTTGTTTTACGCAAAGAATCACCAGAGGAATACTTAGATGAAATCAGAAAAGAAAATGCACAAAATTCAAAAAACTGTTTCGGAATTCCAACATTATGTTCAGCGATTCATAAATTCCGCTCAGCCTATTTAGTCGAGGAACTATTGAAGGACGGTGCTACGGTCAATGCATTTACTTGTATGAAAGGATTGAGGTTGAATGGGATTACAAGAAGCAGGTACAAACAATGGGGAGACTATTCTGCCATCCATCTAGCTGTTTCGCTGGGACAGCACGAAATTGTTAGCTTATTGTTGACCCACGGAGCCGATCTGACATCGAAGACAACTAAAGGAATTTCGTCTCTAGATTTCGTCCTTGATCCGGATATTCGTTGCGAACCGAACGAAATACAAATTACTGAAAAGGATGACTTAGAAATTTTAAAAATAATGAAAAATGAAGCCCTGGACTTGACTAGGAAAGACCATATTTCACAATCAACTGTACTGCACAGAGCAGTTACTCGGAGATGCCTTGAAATTGTACGATACCTAATTTCAGTCGGAGTTGATGTGAATTGCATTGATCGAACGAGTAGTACACCTTTGCATCATTGTACATGGAATAATATGGAAACCCTAAGGATTCTTCTCGAAAACAACGCAAATCCGAACGCTCAAAACGAATTGGGCAATACCTTATATCATCATATATTTGGGCATTACCGACGTAAAGGGAAAGAAAATCTTCTCCGTTTTCTACATTTGTTGCACAAGTTTAATGCAAATCCAAACGTCCAGAACGATGGTGGCGAAACAGCTTTACACAAATGCCTTAAAAACATTGAATATATGCGTAATCAGATTAAATCGGTAAATTTTATGTTACGACAAGGAGCTGATCCAAACATTAAGGATATTTTTGAAAGAACGCCGATTTATCATCTACTTCTTCTTCGAAATTCCGACAAGTTATATTTGATACGATCATTGTTAACTGCACTTATTCAGTATGGGGCAAGGTTAGATCATCTTGACATCACAGGTACTCCATTGTTTCATATCTTAGTATACGGTATCTTATTTCATTTCAACCAATTTGATGCGCAATTGTGGAATGAAATTCTTCATCCGAAGTACAAAGTTAACCTCAATGTACAAGATTATTGCAATCGTACAGTACTTCATTTAGCTGCAGCTGAAGGTGACTGGAAACTCGGCGAGGTCTTTTTGAAGCATGGAGGAAATCTGGATATACTGGATTGTGATGGAAACACACCTCTGGATGTCGCTGTATTGTGCAAGCAATGGGAATTCGCTAAGAATGTGCTCCTCTGTCCATTTGTAGTTGGTCAACGCAGAGATTTCGGAGGGAAACAGGCTTCGGGACGTATTGATGAAGATACGACTAAGAATACAACATCCAACGGCAACTCTGGATGCGAAAGTCTCCTTTTCAGAAGTTTAGCACTGGCTAACTACAATGACAACGACAACAACAACAGCAATAACAACAACAATAACAACATCAACAACAACAGCAACAACGACAACGGCAACAACGGCAACAACAACAACAACAGCTACAACAACAACAACAGCAACAACAGCAACAACAACTCGTTGAATTTCAATAACCAAACCCAAAGGCACTCTGGTGCGCCTAGGCAACTACAAAAAAGTAATAGCATGCCCTCACTTGAATCAAAGAAGCGAGATGGAACAAGCGTTATTCCTTTAGGATCGAGTGTGAAATGGACGAAAGCCAAACTTGATACGGTAGCAAAACGTGTTGCGATAGAGGGCAATCATTTGTATTTCACAACTGTACCACTTGATCCGCTGTGCTTTTGGGAAATTGATTTAAGTCCTAAACCAAAAATATCCAAAAATTTTTCAACACAGATAAATGAGTTTTCTTTGTTGCGTTTGTGTGAGGAGAACAGCCTGGAGTTTCACTTGACGAAGGCGTGTGGAGAAGAGCACTGCTTACTTGCTCAACAAGTGTTCAGTTTGGTGAGCGACTTGCTAACGAAATGTTCAGAAATGGACCCAAGGATGAAGAGCAAATTCCACTGGACTGGCAGCAGCTCAGAAGGAACAAAGATGTGGTTACCAGATGAATTTGATTTTGTAATGGAGTTGGTTGAATTGCAAGACTGCTGTTATATCGATGATAATTTAAGGTAAGGTCATATAAAAAAGATCCAACTGTAGCATGCTCTTGTACTATGAATTTTACCCTCTACATGACACCTATCTTGTACATATGAATCACGATTTAAGAACAGTTACTATTTTTAGACTTTTAGGGTTAGGATTAGGGTTTGGATTAGGGAAAGGGTTAGGATTAAGATAGGGTTAGGATTATAGTAAGGATTATAGTTTAAGTTTAAAATATAAAAGAATACAAAATTTCAAAAGTCTAAAAATAGTAACTCTTCCTAAAACGCGACAGGTACATTATTGTATCATTCCAAGCACAATTGACCAACTACGAACCGATTAAAAATTGCCAGTCAGAACCACATTTTTCCACTTTTGTGTACAGTTAAGCAGTACAAGTAGTGTGTATAAAAAAGGCAATCGAATTTTAGCATATTCCATGCGTTGCCGTTAGATATCGAGTTTGATAAAATTTTTACACAGCAACAAAATATTTAGACTAACTGTCCATGCAATGATACCTTTCTCGCTACCTTAAATTCCCTACCATTACATTGCATCTTCTGTGAAAAAAGCTTTGAACAGTTTTTACTTTGGACTTCCTGGCCACAAACTAGTTATAATTTATGTTTGCAGTTTCTATTTTATAAAATGAAAGTGGTGAATGTAATGAATTCATCTCAATTCAATTGAAGGCATTTTCGAAAACTCATCTTACACCCGAAATGTGAAACAGAATGGTCGACTTTTTGTGACAACGATTGTGTAATCTCGCCAAGAAAATTGAAAAATTATGTATCGAGTTTGTTAAAGAAAGTTTCTTTGGACTTGAATAAAGAAAAATATCCAAACATCCATGTCAATTTGTGCCGATACAATAGAAAATTAAACTATTTTCTGAGAGACACCAAAGTCGGCGTTAACCTTACAGTGTGTTGGAACGGAGATATATATAAAAATCTAACGGTCAGTATCGATTTAACACCCGCGATTCCAGTTGTTATCTCCGAGCGGCAAATGAGGGATGTTAATGAACATGCTTGGAAGGAACTGGCAGACAGAAGTTTCCACGTTGTTCCATATTTAAAGCGTGGCGAAAATGAAGAATGGAGAGCATCGTTTTCACTTGCAGAGGTTCGGATCGTTAGGAACTTAACAAAGAAGCAAATTTCACTTTACAAATGTCTCAAATTTCTACGCGATCTCCATGGGAATGTTTTGGCACACATTCCCTCGTATCATTTGAAAACGTTTCTTCTTACGACTTTATACCAGAATCCGGATGAACAAAACGTAGAGTTGATAGAGCGTGAAAATTTCTATTTCAGTGCATGTTGGATTATTCTTCTTTTGAAACAAATTGCAGAATACCCGTTCAACAAAAGGAGCATAGAACATTTCTTTCTTAAGTTTCATCTGAGTCTTGTAGATTACGACATGCGATGGTGCGCATCTATTTTGGAACATCTCAAATCCAGCTGAGCTTTTGAGCGTGTTTATGTGGGAGTGCAAGAAGACAGCTCAGACGAGATTTATTTATTTATTTATTTATTAAACTTCGCCACTTACAACAAACAAGTGGCAGGGACACCACAACGGTATACACCAATTATTGTGGGCCCTTTAAAAATTGCTAAATTTTAAGAGTACAACACAAAACAACATATCGCAAAACAAAACTACATCGCACAGAACAATATTGAATATTATGCAATGCAGTGCAATGCAATGCAATGCAATGCAATGCAATGCAATGCAATACAATACATAGCAAGAACAAGGTTCGACTTCCACCGCCGCCACCGCTGAACAATATTATAGTTTATCGAGCTAACCAATTACATGCACATCAGGTCAACGAGATGTAGCGGTAGTGGCGGCGAAAGCCAAATCCCAAACTCGCTAAAAACAACAAGAAATTGGACTATCCATTGGACTATTGCACTTTAGGCAGATAGATTTCCATGTCCGTGGATTATCGTGATCATAGACTAGATTTAAAGCAGTACGGTAATAATCGAGTAATAAAGATTTAAATTTGACTAAGCTTAAAGATTGATGTCTCAGTTCATCAGGCAGAATGTTCCATAACCTGGTAGATCTGTTGATGAACGAGCGTTGAAATGACACCGTTCTGCATTTCGTCTCACGGAAATATATATGATAAGAGAAGCGAAGAAGACTTTATTCAGCACGCTTTTACAAAAATAAAAAATATACAAAAAATTTTCAGAACGATTAATAATTAATCAATAGGACAAAATAATTCGTGCTGGGTTTCTGAGATAACCATATACAGTTAATCGAGTCAGATAACCCATTTGAATTAAATTACTAATATTCAATTAGCTGGGGGATTGATGGCATTATATAGAGATTTAAGAAAAATAAATTTTTATATATATATGCAAAATATAAGCACAAGCATAATGTAGACATAACATATACACAGAATTAAGTTATATGGAATACAAAACTATAAATATACAATTAATAGTTGGAAAGAAAGTCACATATGATTGTGTGTTTGAAGCTGGATAAACTAAGAACTTTATAATGATAAGGAAGACAGTTCCAAATTTTAGCACCAGAAAATCTAATGTTAAATTTACCATAATTAGATCTGATATTATGCATATAAAAGGACTCTTGACAAGCAAGTCTGGTACTATATTTATGAACTTCAGAAGTTGGGGTAAAGAATTCCTCAAAAACTGTAGGAATAACATGAGATACATGAGATATGCATACATGCAAATCTGTTGCATACCTGATAGGCAACAAACTTGCTGCAAGGTTAATCCAAGTGGCAAGTGCAAGCCGACAACCAGCTGTTGACGCAATATCTATATATATGTTCAAGTTGTTACCAATTTCGTGTTGACCTATAGCATACTTATTAAAGATTTCTCAGCCAACTTATTGGGGCCAGGACTTAAAGCTGATGACATAAATGGAATCGTCTGGTTAACCAGTTTCATATGTATGAGCATATACAGTAGAAAACTGAGGTCCTCACAGATGCCGTTACGAAAGTTCTAACAAACCAGCGTTCAATCGAACGGCATAACGCAGCTAATTCAATCAATGTTGTCCAGACTGGCCCTTTTCTGTGGAACTCGCTCCCACTTGACATTCGTGCTTCGTCTTCGGTCGACTGTTTCAAGAGACATCTTAAAACATTTCTTTTTAGAAATGCGTACATTTTTAACTTTTATTTAACTGCGTGTGAATGTGTAAATATAGTCTAAAGTAATTTTACGATTTTATATCTCACTGTTTGTACCTGTAGAGCTTTAGAATATTTATAGTTTAAGCGCTACATAAATTTTATAATATAATATTATATCATGTTAAGCCTGGTTCACATATACCTGCGGTATGTCGGTGGGTTATTTTCGTTAGCAGTTCAACCAAATAATTCACAAAAGAATGTATGCAGACCACAGGCATATGTGAACCAGGTTTAATTTGCTCATCAAATAAATTTAATTTCCAAAGGTGTCAAGCACATCAAACAAACAACTTTCTTTAACATTAAAAAGTTTAAAAATCCAATGAATTCTGCCTGGTTTGCTATTGAATTGGGTTAGAAGATAACTTGATAACTTTTTCTTTTTTTTTGTTTTTTTTTTGTTTTTTAATAAAATCCGAGAAAGATGAAAATCAACGGGAATGGCGATACCAAAACGGCTTGTGGAACGTGACTACAGTATCTAATTAGAGAGGTTAAGATACCCCGGTTTCGGTGTACGTGTACGGGTATAGCATGATTTTGGTTAGCAATATTTTCGTCGATGCCTGTACCTTTACTCGTAATTAAGGTGCACATTTTTCGCATTATATCATTGTCTATTGCAAGAAAACAGAAAAAGTATGATCGAATTACAGACATCAGTAAAACAAGATGACACTACTCGTACTCGTACACCGAAACCAGGGTATCTTAACCTCTCTATTGATAGTCCAAACACTCCGTTTGCATGTACATCGTGCTTTACGCGCTTAGACAATCTTAATCGGATTAGGTGTATATGCATAACAAAGATTTCAGTGAAGCGCGCATTCACAATGAAGTGTTCATTGATTATACAGGTTCCCTAGGACTTGTAAAGTCGGTAATACACACAGTTTTATTTGCTCGTCTCTATACGCAACTTTGCCAATTTTTACCATGTCAAGTACACCTGTTCAAAGGCTAGTATGCTATAGCTTTTGGAGAAGTGCGCGCGTGTCATAGAAAAAATTGGCAAAGTTGCATATAGACATAGATATCTTATATACACTAGATAGTGCATCTAATTATTCTGCAATTCAAAAATTTAAGCCGTGATTGCAGTCTCAGGTCGTTCCCATGAAATGAGAGAAGATTCGTATATTTCCTATTTCTTAAACAGGGGACTTGAATATTAAGTTAACTGACCCTATTCCAAATACATTTTTAAAGTATTCAAATGATGAAAGTTATTGTTGTTTTTAAGTGTTTATTAGCGAATGGGAACGACCAACATGGCCGCCATCTATTCAAATGGGGGTAACCGCTGGAATATTCTTGGCTTCAATTTTACTAAAAGAGATGCGCTATCTAGTGTATATAAGATATCTATGCATATAGAGCGTTTGCACATGACGTCACAGCCGCCATGTTGGTGTTCCAATTCAAAAGAATTTTAATTCGACTCTTTTGTCTGGAACACCAACATGGCCGCCATGGCTTTTGTTGAGTTGGTCCCTGGGGAATGAGTGCAAAGGCTCCATACTAAAATTGCAATCACGCGTTTGATTTCAAACCAAATTGCACTCCACTCAGTCACCATTCAGTTCAATTACCATTATATACGACACCTCTTGTAAATAGATATGAGCGAAACCAATAAATAAGACTATACTGAGCATTGATATACATTGAGCATATAGACTATACTGAGCATTGATACACCAGGCGGAAATCTTAGTTTAAAGATAAAGAGCAGAGCCCAGCAAATAACTTTAAATCCAAACAAAAATAAAAGTAAAAAATTTATTAGCTAACGTTTCGTTGTTTACAATACAACATCTAGATTAATTGCTCTGAAGATGTTGTATTGTAAACAACGAAACGTTAGCTAATATTTTTTTTTACCTTTATTATGTTTGGATTTAAAGTTATTTGCTGGGCTCTGCTCTTTATCTTTATACTGAGCATATTTAAAAAAGAGTTAACTATTGAGATAACTATTGGCAAAAAATTGACGCCAATAATTTCATTTCCGACAGCATTATCGGCAGATGAATTACGAGTAGTGCAATATATTCCAAGAAACATTCTGATGACTGGATCGTGACTAGATGGCACAGTACTGAATTACTAAATATATACCCTTTGTTGATATTTGGGAGTTTAAGCTTGACTACGAAAAAATAATCTGCAGATATCCGCACTTTCAAATTTTTACATGACAAATTATATTTATGGATCAGGAAAAGATATTGAAATCGATGTATTTCGTGACTGTCGTATGTAAAAAATATCGCATCCGGTATGTAAAAAACACCAGGACACGTCAACGCCGTGTTTCGATATATAAAATAATACGGCATCGGACTTTCACAATGCACGAAACGTCTGTACTGTTTATTGGTGTCGAAACAAATGAACGTGTTAAAAATTCCCAAATCGTTATGGATTTTCACCCGAGACCACTTTTGTAAAGCGGGCATCAGGTATGTATACATTGGATTAAAAATCCACTGATATAATTTAAAAAATCACGACTACATCGATCTTCAAAGTCAAAGAACCGTGGTGGAAAACAATTCGTCGACAGTTTCAGTCATTTCTGTTTTTAAACTTATTTAAAAAGTCCATACAGATTCGCGGTGTTCTGTAATTCTTTCTCGTTCGAAGACAGACCGTCAATTCCACAACAACAGAATACACTACGTAAATTTAGAAGTTGAAAACAGTCTTGAATTAATAGATGTAGTATATATTTTGCTGGAAACATATTTACAGCTTATATCTTTCGCTCAAAAACACCAAAAAAATGCTTGTTTTACGCAAAGAATCACCAGAGGAATACTTAGATGAAATCAGAAAAGAAAATGCACAAAATTCAAAAAACTGTTTCGGAATTCCAACATTATGTTCAGCGATTCATAAATTCCGCTCAGCCTATTTAGTCGAGGAACTATTGAAGGACGGTGCTACGGTCAATGCATTTACTTGTATGAAAGGATTGAGGTTGAATGGGATTACAAGAAGCAGGTACAAACAATGGGGAGACTATTCTGCCATCCATCTAGCTGTTTCGCTGGGACAGCACGAAATTGTTAGCTTATTGTTGACCCACGGAGCCGATCTGACATCGAAGACAACTAAAGGAATTTCGTCTCTAGATTTCGTCCTTGATCCGGATATTCGTTGCGAACCGAACGAAATACAAATTACTGAAAAGGATGACTTAGAAATTTTAAAAATAATGAAAAATGAAGCCCTGGACTTGACTAGGAAAGACCATATTTCACAATCAACTGTACTGCACAGAGCAGTTACTCGGAGATGCCTTGAAATTGTACGATACCTAATTTCAGTCGGAGTTGATGTGAATTGCATTGATCGAACGAGTAGTACACCTTTGCATCATTGTACATGGAATAATATGGAAACCCTAAGGATTCTTCTCGAAAACAACGCAAATCCGAACGCTCAAAACGAATTGGGCAATACTTTATATCATCATATATTTGGGCATTACCGACGTAAAGGGAACGAAAATCTTCTCCCTTTTCTACATTTGTTGCACAAGTTTAATGCAAATCCAAACGTCCAGAACGATGGTGGTGAGACAGCTTTACACGAATGCCTTAAAAACATTCAATATATGCATAATCAGATTAAATCGGTAAATTTTATGTTACGACAAGGAGCCGATCCAAACATTAAGGATATTTTTGAAAGAACACCGATTTATCATCTACTTTTTCTTCCAAATTCCGACATGTTATATTTGATACGATCATTGTTAACTGCACTTATTCAGTTTGGGGCAAGGTTAGATCATCTTGACATCAAAGGCACTCCATTGCTTCATATCTTAGTATACGGTCAATTTTTTCATTCCAACCAATTTGATGCGCAATTGTGGAATGAAATTCTTCATCCGAAGTACAAAGTTAACCTCAATGTACAAGATTATTGCAATCGTACAGTACTTCATTTTGCTGCAGCTGAAGGTGACTGGAAATTCGGCGAGGTCTTTTTGAAGCATAGAGGAAATTTGGATATATTGGATTGTGATGGAAACACACCTCTGGATGTCGCTGTGTTGTGCAAGCAATGGGAATTCGCTAAGAATGTGCTCCTCTGGCCATTTGTAGTTGGTCAACGCAGAGATTTTGGAGGGAAACAGGCTTCGGGCCATATTGATGAAGATACGACTAAGAATACAATATCCAGCGGCAACTCTGGATGTGAAAGTCTCCTTTTCAGAAGTTTAGCACTGGCTAACTACGACAACGACAACAACAACAGCAATAACAACAACAATAACAACAACAACATCAACAACAACAGCAACGACGACAACGGCAACAACGGCAACAACAACAACAGCTACAACAACAACAACAACAACAGCAACAACTCGTTGAATTTCAATAACCAAAACCAAAGGCACTCTGGTGCGCTTAGGCAACTACAAAAAAGTAATAGCATGCCCTCACTTGAATCAAAGAAGCGAGGCGGAACAAGCGTTATTCCTTTAGGATCGAGTGTGAAATGGACGAAAGCCAAACTTGATACGATAGCAAAACATGTTGTGATAGAGGGCAATCATTTGTATTTCACAACTGTACCACTTGATCCGCTGTGCTTTTGGGAAATTGATTTAAGTCCTAAACCAAAAATATCCGAAAATTTTTCAACACAGATAAATGAGTCTTCTTTGTTGCGTTTGTGTGAGGAGAACAGCCTGGAGTTTCACTTGACGAAGGCGTGTGGAGAAGAGCACTGCTTACTTGCTCAACAAGTGTTCAGTTTGGTGAGCGACTTGCTAACGAAATGTTCAGAAATGGACCCAAGGATGAAGAGCAAATTCCACTGGACTGGCAGCAGCTCAGAAGGAACAAAGATGTGGTTACCAGATGAATTTGATTTTGTAATGGAGTTGGTTGAATTGCAAGACTGCTGTTATATCGATGATAATTTAAGGTAAGGTCATATAAAAAAGATCCAACTGTAGCATGCTCTTGTGCTATGTTTCCATGCGTCAGATATCGAGTTTGTTAAAGAAAGTTTCTTTGGACTTGAATAAAGAAAAATATCCAAACATCCATGTCAATTTGTGCCGATACAATAGAAAATTAAACTATTTTCTGAGAGACACCAAAGTCGGCGTTAACCTTACAGTGTGTTGGAACGGAGATATATATAAAAATCTAACGGTCAGTATCGATTTAACACCCGCGATTCCAGTTGTTATCTCCGAGCGGCAAATGAGGGATGTTAATGAACATGCTTGGAAGGAACTGGCAGACAGAAGTTTCCACGTTGTTCCATATTTAAAGCGTGGCGAAAATGAAGAATGGAGAGCATCGTTTTCACTTGCAGAGGTTCGGATCGTTAGGAACTTAACAAAGAAGCAAATTTCACTTTACAAATGTCTCAAATTTCTACGCGATCTCCATGGGAATGTTTTGGCACACATTCCCTCGTATCATTTGAAAACGTTTCTTCTTACGACTTTATACCAGAATCCGGATGAACAAAACGTAGAGTTGATAGAGCGTGAAAATTTCTATTCCAGTGCATCTTGGATTCTTCTTCTTTTGAAAAAAATTGCAGAATATCCGTTGGACGAAAGGAACATAGAACATTTCTTCCTTAAGTTTCGTCTGAGTCTTATAGATTACGACATGCGATGGTGCGCATCTATTTTGGAACATCTCAAATCCAGCTGAGCTTTTGAGCGTGTTTATGTGGGAGTGCAAGAAGACAGCTCAGACGAGATATGATACATGCAAAATCTGTTGCATATAGGCAACAAACTTGCTGCAAGGTTAATCCAAGTGGCAACTGCAAGCCGACAACCAGCTGCTGACGCAATATCTATGTACAAGTTGTTATCAATTTCTTGTTGACCTATATAGCATACTTATTAAAGATTTCTCAGCCAACTTATTGGGGCCAGGACTTAAAGCTGATTACATCTTCATAAATGGAATCGTCTGGTTAACCAGTTTCATATGTATGAGCATATACAGTAGAAACCTGAGGTCCTCACAGATGCCGTTACCACAGGCGAAAGTTCTAACAAACCAGTGTTCAATCGAACGGCATACGCAGCTAATTCAATTAAGGTTGTCCAGACTTTGACCTCTAAGCGCGAAAAAAGCATATTATTTTTATGCGATTGTTTATGGCTTATGCATACCGTATTTCTCGTTTGAGCGCCGCCCCCGAATGAGCGCCGCATCTGAAGCTCTGACAATTTAAAGAGCGCCGCGGCGCTCAAACGAGTAAATACAGTACATCGGGCGATCGTGCTTTTGTGAGAGCTGGCCCTTTTCTGTGGAACTCGGCTCCCACTTGGCATTCGTGCTTCGTCTTCGGTCAACTATTTCAAGAGACATCTTAAAACATTTCTTTTTAGAGATGCGCACATTAGTAGTGTTTTTCATATAGAACATTTTTAACTTTTATTTAACTGCATGTGAATAATGTGTAAATATAGTCCAAAGTAATTTTACGATTTTATATCTCACTGTTTGTACCTAGCGCTTTAGAATATTTATAGTTTAAGCGCTACATAAATTTTATAATATAATATAATATTCTATTATATCATGTTAAACCTGGTTCACATATACCTGCGGTATGTCGGTGGGTTATTGTCGTTAGCAGTTCAACCAAATAATTCACAAAAGAATGTATGCATCAACAGCTGTTTTTCCACGATAGCGCAGGCATACCACAGGCATATGTGAACAAGGCTAAATATGCTCGTCAAATAAATTTTATTCCCAAAGGTGTCAAGCACATCACACAAACAACTTTCTTTAACGTTAAAAAGTTTAAAAATCCAATGAATTCTGCCTGGTTTCCCATTGAATTGGTTTAGAAGAGCAAATAAAATCCGAGAAAGATGAAAATCAACGGGAATGCCGATACCAAAACGGCTTGTGGAACGTGACTACAGTATCTAATAGACCTTTCCCCTTTTAATTAAGTGAAATTTTCATCTAGACTAGCCTGGACAAAAATTTCATCACAGCTTGAAAGAGCATTACAAAATTAGTAATATTCCCAAATTTAGTTGCGAAATGTTGTAAAATGCGGATACTATAGCCTTGCGAAGTTTGCCGTTTTTCAGTCATTTTAGATTACAAATGGGAAATTGATAATCAGTTTGATCATCTGATTATCAATTTCCCATTTGTAATGCAAAATGACTGAAAAACGGCAAACTTCGCAAGGCTATATTATCCGCTTTTTACAACATTTCGCAACGAAACTTCCGAATATTACTAATTTTGTGATGCTCTTTCAAGCTGTGATAAAATTTTTGTCCAGGCTAGTCTAGATCAAAATTTCACTCAAAAGGGGAAAGGTCTATTGATAGTCCGAACACTCCGTTTGCATGTACATCGTGCTTTGCGCGCTTAGACAATCTTAACTGGATTAGGTGTATATGCATAACAAAGATTTCAGTGAAGCGCGCATTCACAATGAAGTGTTCATTGAATATACAGTTTCCCCAGGGCTTGTAAAGTCGGTAATACACACAGTTTTATTTGCTCGTCTCTATACGCAACTTTGCCAATTTTTACCATGACAAGTACACCTGTTCAAAAGCTAGCTAAGCTATAGCTTTTGAAGAAGTGCGCGTGTCATAGAAAAAATTGGCAAAGTTGCATATAGAGCGTTTGCACATGACGTCACAGCCGCCATGTTGGCATCCAATTCAAAAGAATTTTTATTAGACTCTCTTGTCTGGAACACCAACACGGCCGCCATGGCTTTTGTTGAGTTGGTCCCTGGGGAATGAGTGCAAAGGCTCCATACTAAAATTGCAATCACGCGTTTGATTTCAAACCAAATTGCACTCCACTCAGTTATTCAATTACCATTATATACTACTACTCTTGTAAATAGATATGAGCGAAACCAATAAATAAGACTATACTGAGCATTGATATACATTGAGCATATAGACTATACTGAGCATTGATACACCAGGCGGAAATCTTAGTTTAAAGATAAAGAGCAGAGCCCAGCAAATAACTTTAAATCCAAACAAAAATAAAAGTAAAAAATTTATTAGCTAACGTTTCGTTGTTTACAATACAACATCTAGATTAATTGCTCTGAAGATGTTGTATTGTAAACAACGAAACGTTAGCTAATAATTTTTTTACTTTTATTATGTTTGGATTTAAAGTTATTTGCTGGGCTCTGC